TTATTCGACATCTCAGAGCAGCAAACAAAACCTCGCGTACCTGAAAGTTTTCCAACAAGCCCAGATGGTCCTTCAGCAAGACGTGGCCGTTGAACACACTCGTCTCTCTCAGCGCTTCCTCCAAACGCTCCCGGAGGGCGACTGCTGCCTCCTCCTCATCGCCCGACGACGAGGAAGATGAGGGCGACGAGGACAACAGCTCTCGACAGACCAGGGCGGAGTTTGAGGTAGAGGGGAGGACAGCGCGGTCCAAGTGAGCGGTGGAGGAAGACAAAGCCTCGCCAGGACTGTCGGGATGGGGACTTCCCGATACTACAGACGTGTTTCTCTTTTTAGCATCGGGGTTTTCCCGAATACTGTCGTTGAGAATGTCGTCCAGACCTGAGAAAATGTCGATGTCCAAGATTTTGGTGGGGTGCACTCGTTTATAAGAGGGTTTTAAATGTTTCTCCAAAGACGAAGAAGTAGTGGTTGAAGATGACGAAGAAGAAGATGATGATGATGATGGCAGCGTCGTTTCATCAGCGCCCGACTGGCCTGACGTGGATGACGATTTGTTGCTCTCCGTCTTGGCCACATCGCTGTGTCGTTGCTTGTGCTCTCTCTGCAGCAAGTAATGTTGGCGCTGTAGTTTGATTTGTAGCTGTCGCCTCTCCTCCATCTCCTGCTGCTGCCTCCGGAAGAAGGCGAGGTTCTCGCTGGAGACACTGGCGGGGGTACGTCCGTCGGAGGTCGCGTCCTCCTCTGTGTGCTCGTGCAGGATCTTCACCTCGATGATGTTCTTGGTGCGTGCCTCGTGGGTGTAACGACCGACTCGGATAGCTGCCGGGGGGGAGGGGGGGGGCAAAACAAGTTAGGTGGATTATAGAGATGATGATAATTTTAATGATACTGATAAGATAGTGATACTACTTCTTCTGCTGCTAATGCTTCAACATTGTACTACTATTTATAATAATAATATTAATAATGCTAAAAAAGATTTGGTCAGGAGGATAAACTATCAAGTTAAGTTTTTTAAAAATGAAAATAAAAATGAAAACAAGAATAAAACAGATAGATACATTAACAAAAAACTCCTTAGAAATACAAAAACATTGTAGATTGAAAAGCCCGAATGTTAGACAAAGGAAACTTTCGACCATGTTGGGTTGCCGTCCCAAATCGAGGTATATGAACAAAGGGAAGCTACCAAGCCATCGATTCCCTGACTTTGCTGCATGACAAAACACGACATAGGTTGTGTCTCTTGTTGACTCTTGTGTGGGAAAGTGTGGAAACGTTCTTTCTGATTCTGAACATTGCTGTAGTGCACGTGTTTACACACACACACACACACACACACACACACACACACACACACACACACACACACACACACACACACACACACACACACACATACACACACACACTAAACAACAACAACAACATCAATAACAACAACAACAATTGAACAGGCATATAATTCTTTAAATTAAATTAGGGATTCTAATTAAAGCATACAATACAATTAAGGGAATAGAATTCAAACCGACACACACACACACACACACACACACACACACACACACACACACACAC